AAAAATACTTCCTCTCTGCGTTCAAGAAGTAAGCTCATTTTGCAGGCCTGAGACTGCCAGTGGCACCCCAAAATAAAGTGAAAGAAAGTTAAAAGTGTTGACCCTCAAATCCCCAGAGGGAGGGGATTTGTTTAGTAAAGCATGGTAAGAAAGGTTTAAAATGTGGACAATCCCAGAGGATATTATGGTGGGTATCGGTGAAGAGGAAGTGAGATGTTATGGGGGTCAGGAAGTTTTACATAAGGCGATTGGTCGTCAAAGAGGAAAAGTCAATGTGAAAATAGTGTACGGGGTCCATGAAAGACAGTGAAAAGGATTAGGATGAATAAGTGAGGAGTAGAGGCCATAGAGTCTCTGGGGGAACACCCGACAAACTAACCTGCGAAGGTAAGAAGATGACTTTTGGCTTTGAATAGATTTAGGGGTTTGTTTAGGAAGAATAGTGGACCAAGTGATGAGGATGCAAAGAAGAACACGGGAGGTCATGGTGGAAGACTTTACTTGCTTCCATCATGACGTGTGGAGATCTGGGGCCGAGAGTCTGGAATATTGCAAATTTGAGATAAAGTTTTATTCTGCTTTCACAAAAAAACCCTGTTCTCACATTTGAAATATTTCATAGTGAAATACTGTTTCTAGGTAACACATAAAATGTAGAATGACATAAAGTTAGAATGACCTGTTTGAACTACCAAGGAATACTGATTAAACTTTAACTTTTTTTCTTTAATTGGTCTCTTTTGACAGACTCGAACTGACTTAATATTATTTCATGTTGGGTACTAAATTACAATAATTTAAAATCAAAATGCTAGGTAATGGAAAAAAACTGGTGTTAATATATTTTTTATTATAGAGTAGAAGTTATGTTTATTTTTCCTTAGTTTTCATTAACTTGTACGTTGCACGACTGGACGCCAACTAAATGCCTGTGAGGTCTAGGCTGCTTTGTGGGACCTCAGTGTCAAAAATGTGCTCTCGCTGTTGACAATCCATGTACCAGCAGCCCCGCAGAATTATTGACTTTGGTATCTTTTCTCACCAGCAGAGTTTAAAACCATCCATAATCCTTACTTAACTCGGGGAAATCATTATAGGAGTGACAACAGAGGTAACACTAACTTATAAATCTATACATTGATATATTACTGCTTATAAAGATGAGCAAAATAATTAAGTCAGTTTTGTAACTTACATGCCCACACCTGGGGTGGTCATTTAAGTTTTTTTTTGAGTCGTTGGAAATATGAGTCATAATATATATTTGGGTTTTTTCCTTTTAGTAGTTTCATAGCTTTTTATTAAATTAACTATCCACTTACACCATGTAGTGCATAGTTTGACACTCTGTACCACAGCTACATAACCAATTCCCCATTCATACTACCCATCTTAAGGCAAACCGATTAATCAGGGCTCGAGAAGGTTCGTTCCACCCACCCTCGATGACGGATGACAGACCGGGAAAAATAATCTTCAATAATTCTGGAAAAAAACTCTCAAGAATCTTGCAACAACAAGCTGAGATTCCTTAAATTTTAGGTCGTTGACTATGGCAGTCTTGAGATTTCAAACAACTTTCTCCCTAATTATGAAGAGTCGTTTAAGATTGAATAATAGAATCTTGTTATAATCCTTCAAGTGCTTCTTTTTGTACAGTGGTTTAAGGTTAAAATATTTACGCTTTAAGCTAAACTAGAAAATTTAAAAAAGTTATTTTGAACCAAGCCAGCTTTTTTTTAAAAGCGAACTAGAAAGAAGAAGAAGAAGAAGAAGATTTTTTTTTACACTGGAGTGGATGGCCATGGCACAACATTCAAAAGGTTTTCCAGGGCTCAGAATAATCTCCTTGTTGATAGCCTTCCATACGGCAATTTGTAATATACATTACATACACGGCGTTACATTCAAGGCTTACGTTAATTCATCTAACTGTGATAAATTGGGTGAAATATACATATTTTGAGCATTTAGCATTGTTTAAAGAGTAATAAGTGTAAAAACAATAATGATATTAATTGCGTGAGTTAATTGCCAAATTTGGTTGATCATTCAATGATTAAATTATTTCCTTTACTGTACATCATCGGAGTTATTATTAGTACGTTATATGGTATCTATTCCTTTGGAAGAACCCTTAAATAGTATTAAAATCTTATTGGTGGATCTTTTGTAGTTAAACACTTCCGTGATTTCATCAGTGTAATATGATTTTATTTGAAAAGAAAATATTCGTTGGGAAGACATATTCTAATTTCAAAGGGAGGTACATCCGTTACAGTATAAGTTTGATTTTTCCTAGCATAGTTTTGAGAAATTGGTTGTGGGGTTAGGTATTGTTAAAGCTGGAATTCCTTGACATGGGGGGGTGTCAGTTAGTTGTCGCAGCCTTATCAATTACATAAAGTTGTCAATATAATCTCTCTACGGAATGTTAGGTGTAGTGGAATACTTGAAGTGAAGTTGGCTTTTATTCTTGAACTGTTAGGGGCCTCCTTGCTCATATGGTCTTGGCGGCTTCATTGGCAACAAATAATGCAAATGACATAGCAATGGGACATTTCGAAAAAACAAAAATCCTGTAAATTGGCTGTTACGTATATATTGACGTTTACATATTGTTAATCAACGTATCATATAAAGGATTATGTGATCTTCCAATAAATATGTGTTGTTTCAAATACAATTTAAAAATGAACAGCTGTTTCATAAAAAAAGTATTATTCACATGGCCAAAATGTAAACAACTCTGTGGAAGGATCTTTAAAGGCTTCTGGGGGGCAGAGTCCTAAGGGATTTTGCTTAGTTTTTCTCTTGATAACTCATCTACAGACCAAGACCTTTCTTTAGACACCTCTATCAAGTTTCTACGCCCAGCCGTTCTCTCAAATTAGTGGGGACAAAGTTTCCAATTAAATATTTAGATTCCCCCATATGTTAATCTTATGGGAGAAACTCCAACTTTGATGGCCTGTAGGGCAAAGCCCGAGGACTTTTATTGCAGGAATTGTTGAAAGGGGGCGTCTACACAAAAAATACTTTATTTTGACACGTCGTTTGTAAAAATCCGTCCATTATTAACGGAGGAAAAGTGTTTTGTAGAATCGCCTTCACGTATTATATATATGGATGGATGGATGGATGGATGGATGAATGGATGGATGGATGGATGGATGGATGGATTGTACTGAAAAACTTGAGCATCAAAAAATTGAATTTGTATATAGGATTTTATTGGTGTTGTGTATATCTTTCTATCTTTTTTCATTTCCAGATAACAGTACAACAACTGTATTTTAATTTTAATACTTCCTCTCTGCGTTCAAGAGCTAAGCTCATTTTGCAGGCTTGAGACTGCCAGTGGCCGCATTAAAAGTATTGACCCTCAAAGCCCCAGAGGGAGGAAGTATGGGAGGTCGAATTCTGTAAGGAAGGTAAAAAATCTGGACGAGCCCAGGGAAGAATGTAACATGAGATAGGGAAGGAAGGGGATGAGAGGAGGGGAGGTCAAGAAGATTGCATGAGGCAACTGATCGCCTGAGAGAAAGATCCCGAAAGGTGAAAGATGTTGTGAAAATACGTTAAAGATAGTGACAAGTTCGAGGTTCAAATGAATAGGTTTAGGAGTAATGATAATGAAGGTAGTACAGCCTAGTGTATAGAGTAGTAGAAAGTATAGAAGTATAGTGATGGAATGATTTAGGGGTTTGTCTAGAATCAAATGGACCGAGTGATGTGGATGCAAACCGGCTGAAGGAAGGTCATGGTGGAAGACTTTACTTGCTTCCATCATGACGTAGGGAGATCTGGGGCCGAGAGTCTGGAATATTTAAAACTTGAGAGAAAGTTTTATTCTGCTTTAACAAAATAACCCTTTTCTCAAATTTTAAATATCCATATTAAATTGTGTATCTAGGTAACGACATATGGAAAATAATCAAGTTATAAACATCTGTTGTTGTGAGCCATCAAGTACTACGGTATTCGTATTTTGCCTGAGGGGCATTTACTGACATTTTAAATCAAAATTAAAGGCACTGCCTCCCCCCCTCCTGAGTATTATTTTTTAACAAGTCTATACAAATGCTTCTATTTCTTACATTCTAATATGCAGACGAGTATAGAGTTCACTTCAATAAATCAGGTAGCCAGCTAATTTAAAATGAGTTGTTATAACTACTGCACTACTGTGCTATAACTACTATGTTATTGTGCATTAAATTTTGACCCCGGCAACGCTGGGTTTCGCTGCTAGTACAAAACATTTCTAAGGAGTGATTGTTCATTTACATATCTTCTAAAAGCCTGTTTTTTAGTATTAAAATATTTTAGCATTACGCGAGGCTTCTGTGTCTAACAACTCCGTGATAATACAACCAAAAGTTTACACGGGTAACCTAATTAACCACACAACGGCAAAGATAATATCTCCACAGCATGTAGGAGTGTGATATCATTGCAGAGCAGCCAATGGCACGACTCCCAGTGGGAGCTGAGCTCTGATTGGCTAGCCAAGGCCGTATGTAGGTCACTTGGACGGTAATTACTAAGCAATTACGTGCATGGCTCCCACACATCATACCTGCGCCGAGACTCTGTCAACTGCCATTGTATATTCTCAGACTGAGATTCAATTCAATTCAATTCAATTCATTTATTTCCACGGTAACACCATTTTTACAAGAGGTACAGTAAGTAGTAGCATAGACTGTATGTTTTATCTAAGGTAGTAGCTATCAAACTCAAATTTAACAACAAATAAAGGCTATTCTGAATAAATTACAATAACAAGAACAAGAAAAACATAACAATGAAGATGGAAACCATGATAAACTTTTTAAAACAATAACAAAACAAGACTTAACAAAACAATAAATACACGGTTTGGAATCCTCTAAGCAAGACTTACATGACAAAAACAGATATAAATACTAAAGTGACAAAAATAAATAGCTGATCGAAGGTTGAACACAGTGCCGTTAACATGATGTAAGCATTAACTACAAATTATTTACAGAGAAGAGGCGACACAGATTGGAGCGGAAAGCAGCCACGCTGGAACGGTGAAAATCCAACACTGCGCCGACCTCGTTGCCGACCCGCAAAAGGCGAGGGATAGTGCTTCGCTGTAAATATACAGTATTGTAGTGCCTCCGCTCAAACGTATCCTTGGATCTTGTGCGGACAGGAACGTGGAATGGTATTCCTCCCAAAAGCTCAGGGCAGTCGATATTTCCACTTACAATCTTCATGAGAAACAGAGCGTCCGAAATTTTCCTCCGATCTTCCAAGCAGCATAGATTAAACTGAGATCTGATGAGATTCATGGGAGCATCAAGGTAGCGATATCCCATTCTGCAGCCAAGGACCCTAATGAAACGAACTTGAACTCTCTCCAGCGAAGATATGAGTCCAGTCTGATATGGAGCCCAGACAGGAGAGTTGTATTCGAGGGTGGGACGAACCAGTGCACGAAAAAGCAACACCAAGGCATTAATGGAGAGTCCTCGAGTGAAGCGGAAGAGAAAGCCCAGAGTGGAACTTGATTTGTGGCAAATTTGTTGGATATGCTCTCCTGGATGAAGTGTTGGAGTAGTTATTATGCCAAGATCTTTATACCTCCAAACTCTACGCAGAGGGTCGTCCCCAAGAAAATAGCCATGCTCATGAGTGTTCTGACTGCGAGAAAAGGACATAACGACACATTTAGAGGTGTTCAGACTCATTGAATTGTCAATGCACCAATTCATCACTGCATTTATTGATGACTGAAGACGAGTGAAGTCTTGAGCACTGGAGATCTCTAAGAAAAGTTTTGCATCATCCGCGAACAGAAGGAACTCAGAATCCAAGGTGTCGCCAATGTCATTTATAAATAAGTTGAATAGAAAGGGTCCGAGGTGAGATCCTTGTGGCACTCCAGATGTTTTAGCAATTGTATTTTGTACTTAACGCACTTTTGAATCGATCATTCTTCGCCCTAATGCTATTTGGCATTATTATATCAATTCATTGATGAAACAAACAATGGTTAAATGGGTTTAAGACGAGATCCATATACGTAATAATAACAACAGAACTTTGCAAGTTGGCTGTACCACTTTTGTTCCGCGGTTGAAGGCTTTCTTCACATCACTTTCGTTCTGGGGGTCAGCAGGTAGATTTCGGGACCGGCCGAAACATTACTTTTGTTCCGCGGACATCTCTCTTGTTCCGCGAGAGAGGGGGCTGTACTCTACCTCCCCCAAATCATCTCTTTCGCTCTCCTAATTCTTTCTTTAATGCGGGCTTTAAGACTTTAAATTAAAATTTTCGCCTTAACCAAAATATCAATAATATAAATAATGTAACCTAACCTAACCTAACCACACCTCACCTAACCTAAACCAACCTAACTCATCCTTACGTAAAATTGCCTAACCTATGAAAGAAAGAATTTGGAGGAGAGCGAATCAAATCATTCGGGGGAGGGAGAGTACAGGCCCCTCTCTCGCGGAAAAAGAGAGATATCCACGGAACAAAAGTGATGTTTCAGCCGGCCCCGAAATCTACCTGCTGACCCCCAGAACAAAATTGATTAAAATTTGAATTTAAATTAGCCTTCTACCGCGGAACAAAAGCGACAAGCTGCCAGGTTTACATAGAAACATTACACAAAACGCAACTGAAAAATTCCGATGGCGAAAAAAAACATACTTTTACATAAGATAAATACCCCGCCGCAGCAAACCTGAAGACTCATGAACCTGGCTGGTTCTTCACTTCAATATTTCCTTAGAAAAGTCAGATTTATTCCCTATTCAAATAACATTAGGTTTTTACGAGTAATTAGGGTTGTTGCTTCAAAGAGGGTAATTAAGTGTGTTTTTAGTAAAATGTTCATAGCTTATTATAAAATAAATAAATTTGCTGAGTTGCGGAAAACCAAACCTTTTCCATAAACAGGCAAACTAAAACATTTTATCTATTATCCATAACAATAACATGGGAATTTTAAATGTGCAATGTTTATATATATGAACTTGAACGGATGCTGTTTTTGGCCTTGGGGACCTTTTTTGTCCTAGGACGCTAGGCACGAGCCCTGTTTTTCACATTACTTCAGGCTAGACCTAGGCATTATCACATGGATAAAATCCAGTGGTGATTTGGCGGGATTTGAATCCGGGACCTCTGGAACCGCGCTCTGACCACTAGACCAGCTCGCCCCTCCTGGCCTTGGGGACCAAATCGGTTCTTGGACCAGGACTTCCTGTGAAACCTACAGTAATAGCCTATTCCCTGTATTAGAAATTCGCTAAAATTGCTAAGGAATAAATTCGTAGTCAAAACATATTTGCTTGGTGGCACCATACTGCAGCCAAGCAAACATAGCCATGGTGCGGTAAGTGTATGAACATACGATGATACTGGGCAGGAAAGTAATTTAGTACTGCAAAGATGATCGCTGAACAAGTCAGATGAGGTGCAAAGATGAGTTGGGTTCACTGTATCCTGTATATCTACAAGTTGGCTAAATGTCTTGATAACAAGGTAAAATCCATAGATATGACTTTTGTATAAGATAGAGATATACTAATATGGGTATTTTAAACACGATTATTGGATGATTGTCATAATGAATGTAAGTAGTCTGAGATGCCGCATGTCAAACATTGTTCACTCGTCCCTAAAACACTACAACTTTCACCGCATACGCTAAACACACACCATAGTGTGTCGGTATTGTAGTGGGAATAAAATACAATTTTGGACTGATGAATAATCAAAAACAATCTTCCCACATAGGTATATGCAGTAGGTGCATGTAATAGAGATCGAAGCTAAGTCTCGTCCAACGCATTTACTTTTGAAAGTAAATATCTAATCAGCGAGGAAAGCTATCATGGTCCACAATGTATTTGATGAAAATCATTTGAACCACCTTAACTGGGTTCCAACATTAGATTATCCTGAAACCCAATTTACAACCCTCGGACCCGGTGACCTCAGGCTCTCAATGACTTAAAGATTAATTATTCGAAATTATTATGAATAGAAAAATAATATTAACGAAGACCCCCCCCCCTCTTTGGACACTTATTTTAATTTTCTCTAAAAACTTAAAAACTAACTATGTTAATTCTTATTTACATAGGCATATTCTTGCTTTTGACAGAAGAAAATATTCATTTTGCTTAGACGAATTTCATACTATACACGTTCTTAATTTTTTTTTCTATAGGTACAGTATTTGGCATCCAAAAGTGACAGGGTATACGAAAGACAAATAACCCAAGTAAATAAATGCTAACTAAAATGGACATTTTATTAGTTTTACGTTATTTTTTGTGAATGCGTCCACAGGTAAGATAGTTTTGTTCCGCCGGAGACAGTCCAATCTAACGGTCGCAGTGTGCAGTAAATAATTAATTATTGGTCCAGGAAGTGAACACTCCAAGTCCCTCCCCCGCGGCCTTCTCCGTGCAACGGCTACAGCTGTAGTGGCCGGTCTAACTTATTTATATATTCATCAACTAAATGAGACATAATGTAACACAAGTTGGCGCATTAATCTGCTATATTAGCGATACGCCGCAGCGGCGGATTTATTATAATGTAATCACCGCGCCAATGATTAACGACCTCCGCCATTTTGTTGGTTGCGATAATTGCGCAACAGCGGCGAGTTTACAGCGTCGCCGCGCCTTCGCTTCTCGTTTGTTTTGCAATTTTAGCGCCTTGTTTATTAAGATGATGTGTGCACTGCTCGTTCCTCGCTGCTCACCGCTCATACTGCCTAATTACCTGTAGTCGATGATAGGCGCGTGTTCATTTCTGTCTTATCTTAATCACCCGTTGATTATATGTTGTGTGGTCACGCGGTTTTATTTTTTCGACCGGTCGTTTGCAGGTTTTATCGACGATTCGCCACCTTGTAAACAGTGTGTAAATCTATATTGAAACACTCCCTCAGCGTTGCTCTGGCCTTGTAATTAAAAACGCGATGAAATGAGTAATTCTTCGTAATGCTAGGCTGGTTTTGAAAATGTGTGTTTATGTGTTGACTAGCACTTCTTTAACGTTTGTTATTGAATGCCACATAAGAAGCTGAAAGTCTGTTAGTAGCGTTTGAGACATGTTCTTCTAGTTTGCTGTTGAAACTATTTAAACCAAACTACCCAAAATTTTCTAGCAAGCAAATGTTAGCCTTGATTGCCTTACAAAGGATACTCAAGAAACTAAGAACCCATAAGAAAACTCAAATTTATCCTTAGGTGCCTGGACGAGGGTATTTTTAGACTTGATTCACTCAGCACAATCGTGTACAACACCAGCACTCCCAGCACACAGCCGCCCCCAACACCTTGTTGACAACACTGATAGGATCAGAGATATCACTCTAGGCGCCAGCTACATACTCTGCAACAGCATATCCTTTTGTACGTTAAGAAAAGAATCTCTTATCTCACATCCAAATGAATCATTGGATATAAATTGCATTCTGAAAAAATCTATTGCCAAACATGCCTTTGGAAGTAGAAATTGGAATCGTACTAACATTTTTTGATTAGTCTATAACATGTGTAAGCTATATAATCAGAAACTACGCCAGCAATATGGTGGCTAAGGCACTGCGGAAGGCTAAGGCTCTGCGGATGGCTAAGACTCTGCGGACAGGTAAGGCACTGCGGATGGCTAAGGCACTGCGGATGGCTTAGGCTCTGCGGATGGCTAAGGCACTGCGGATGGCTTAGGCTCTGCGGATGGCTAAGACACTGCGGATTGCTAAGGCTCTGGGGATGGCTTAGGCTCTGCGGATGGCTAAGACTTAGCGGATGGCTAAGGCTCTGCAGATGGCTAAAGCTCTGCGGATGGCTAAGGCTTTGCGGATGGCTAAGGCTCTGCGGATGGCTAAGGCTCTGCGGATGGCTAAGGCTCTGCGGATGGCTTAGGCACTAAGAATGGCTAAAGGCTCTGCGGATGGCTAAGGCTCTGCGGATGTCTAAGGCTCTGCGGATGGCTAAGGCTCTGCAGAGCGGATAGCTAAGGAGTTCTGATTATTATTCCTGTACGTGATGAGTTTATTTCATCGTCCAATACTTTTCGCCTAATACAAACCTCTCCTGTGCTGAAAGTGTTGACCCTGACCCAATACCGTGCCGACGGCCGAGGGCTGATTCACGATCTGATCGCCTCAATGGCGTCGTGCGAGTGATAATTGAGCCTGTAATGGCAGCGATTTATCGTGCAAAGTCGCTGAATTATCACGTCGTCCAACAATAGCCGCACCTATCGCCAAGTGATAAAACCAGTGGCCACCTTTATATCATAATCGTGTTTAACAAGAGCCAGTAAATTGTCGGTACCGAGTGAGGTCTTATCAAGATGGTCGGGGTAATTGGGCGGCAAAGAGCGGCGTTGTGGAGGGAATAAACTGGGGCGCTACACTACAGCACAGGACGTTAACAAGCGGCATCAGGCATCAGGCAGCTTCACTAGGCCTACGTGCCTTACACAGCTGATAGCTCAGCACCCATTTTCACCACACTCTACTGTAAGAATCAAGTTCACTCATTCATTATTGTGCTGGTAGTTTTTTAAATAGTTTTAACTCATATTTTTGGCAGTGTTTGACGAATTAAAATTTAACATGACGTGCTATAAAACATTAGAAAGAACCTCTTATATCATCTCGTGTGGTCCCTCTTTGCAG